CTGAGACACACAAAGGCACTCGAAGGCCCTCAGACGCACATCCCGCCCGCGCCGCAGTGCCTTCGCGGAATGTGCCGCCACCTCGCCCTCACCTGGCTCCCTCTCGCGATCTCCCCGTCGGATCCAGCGCCTCCCCTCCGCCCCCGTCTGCACCTTGTCGTCACGCCCGCGGGAACGTTTCATCTCCTTACGCCCTCAAGAGCCCAGCGCCACGACGCCCTGTGGCAAGCCCTCGCCCCCCGACCACCCAGCGACTGCACAGGAGGCCAGACATCGAGCTCCGCGTTCCCTCGCACTGCCTGTCACCTTACTTAGAAAAACAAGGTATCCAAGACGGCTTCTACAGGCCTATCATGAGGCCGGACGACTCAGCGGCTCCTGGTGGCACTAGGTTCCGCCTGCAGGACATCACAAGGCTCCGGCAGAACACTCGAGCATCGTGAAATACGTCATTTAAACGCCGCCACAGACCGTGGGACGCGCGTGGACTCGGAGGAAGGACGCACGATGGTTCCCCTCTGAGTGATAGTGTACAACTAGAGCCTGGTGGCGGGGTAAGGGCTGGCCTCTCTCGCACGCTCCGTCCTTCTCTCTCTCTCTCTCTCTCACTCCCCTCTCTCTCTCTTCCTCCCATTTTCTCTCTCTCTCTCTCTCTAACCCTCGCGCGCGCGTGGGCTCGGGTTCTCCCACGCGCTAAATATTGATCCCTCCAAACTCTATGCTACGGCCGCCGTCGACCTGTAACACCCCTTGCCTTGCTTCTTGATAACCCATTATACGGGCTGCTTCGCTGACCTAATGCATGACTCAGAGGACTGCGCTCTTTAATGGAAATATTTAAACACTCTGGCGCTGTGGCAAAGGTCAGGTCGCCAAACGGGAAAAGAGGGACGGTTATGTGTGCTCTGGTAAGTTTGCATGAATTCATGAACTGCATGGACGTGAGCAAAATTTGTATACACACGCAGGGGAGGGTGAGTGTGCGTGTATGTGTTTAAAAAAATGCCTTAAATTTCTAAACTAATAAACATCAAATTAAAAATATATGGGATAAACGCCACTTTTAAAGCTATCCAATAAGCGAGAGAAATTGACAAAAGAAAAAAAGAAAAGAAAAAGAAGAAAATATACATACATCTTTGTACCTGACTTGCTCGTGTATGTGAATATCATGAATATCAAATTTATATCATGGAAACAAGGAAATGACCGAGGAAGGACGGGGGCGCGATGCGTTTGATGAAATGGGAAAGGCTTAACAGGTAGTCTATGTAGGGCACAAGTTAAGAGGCTCTCCCCTTTTCTTTGCGGGTACGTGTGCGTTTGTTTGTTTGTTTGTGTGTGTGTGTGTGTGTGTGTGTGTGTGTGTGTGTGTGTGTGTGTGTGTGTGTGTGTGTGTGTGTGTGTGTGTGTGTGTTTGAGTGAGTGAGTGAGTGAGTGAGTGAGTGAGTGAGTGAGTGAGTGAGTGAGTGAGTGAGTGAGTGAGTGTGTTCGTGTATACGATCATACACTTACCGCAGATGTACCCAAAGTGTGGCAAACGACTAATCAAAAAAAAAAAAAACTGAGTTGATTAATGATTGCTAATATGGACAGTTGTACCCTTTACGTGGCTGCAGAAGCGTGCTCCCTCATCCAATATATATTCAACGAAATTCCACGCTAGCAACAACGCAGAAGACCAGCTAAGCAGTTGCGTCACGTTGCACTTGTACCAAGTTCAATGATTCAAGACAATACCAACTCAGTTCCATCCATGGCTCCATAGCGACTAATCTTGAGAGTAAATATGGCAAGCTTCCCCCGAGCACCCAGTAACCGGCAGAAGAATTATATGTCAATCGCTTAGGGTCGGCAATCCTATGACCTTATATGAGGAAGTCAACCATATAGGCGGAGGCAGGTTCCCGGGTCACTGGGTACTGCATGAGACTTAAAACAGAGTAGTTTTTTATCTATTTATTTATTTTTTTGTGTGTGTTCTCGTTTCTCTTGTAAAATGCGTACGTACGTGCTCTCGGTCGGGTCTTTCTCTCGATCTCATGGGAAACGTCAGCGTGTCAGAGGGAAAACCATGAGTTCAGAGGGGAAACGTGAAGGAACAAAGGGAAAGGTTGTGAGGGAAGTGCCATGAGTAGGGGATAAAGCAGGAAAGACAGAGGAAGAGACGAAGAGGGGAGTAAGGAGAGAGAGAGAGAGAGAGGGAGAAAGAAAAAAAAGAGGAGAGGCCAAAAACAGGGTGGGGGGAAATAACAGTGATGTTATCTGCAGGGAAGAATGGAGTGCATAAACAGGAAGAAGGCGGGGAAGGGGCGCTAAAAGGAGATGGAGACAGAAGAGAAGGAGAGAAGATAGGGGGATGAGGGAACGAAAGACGTAGAAAGAGACAGAAAGTGTAAGAAAGCGTAAGATAGAAGAAACTAGGAAAGAAGGAAACATAAAACAGAGAGAGAAGAGAAAGAATAAGAAAAAACAAAGTAAGAGAGACGGAGAAATGAGGGAATTGAACGAAGCAAAAAACACAAAGAGAAGAAAAAGAAAAAGATAAAAAAGGAAGTAAGACGCAGAAATAAGAGAATAGAAAGAAGCATAAAACACAGAGAAGAGAAGAGAAAGAAATTGGTAAAAAAAAGAGAAACGGAGAAATAAGACGAGGAAATTCAAAAGCAAGAGATGGAAGCATTCGGAGGAGGCAGCCAGGATCTCCATCAAGCAGCATGCAGACTCAAGCAATGTGGAGTGTTTGAGCCGCCTCTGTTGGTAGTGCTTGAGTCTGTCTCCTGAGCTTGAGTGTGGAAGCAGCAGGGGGGCGTGGAGGAGGCTGTCCTGCTGGGTCTGCTTGCATGCATTCATTTGTTTGTTCATCTGCTTATCATATTCATCTGTTGCAATGGAGGAATGAGTGTCGAAATTAGGGTTATTTTTGTATAACTTCTATATTTTTTAGATGTTTACCAAGAGGGTTATGAGACACGTGCGTGCGTGAGTGCGCACCATGGATGTCTGTACACATATGAAAACATATTTTTTAGATGTTTGCCAAGAATGGGATAAGACACGTGGGTGTGTGTATGTGTTTATGCGTGTGCGTGTGTGTGTGTGTGTGTGTGTGTGTGTGTGTGTGTGTGTGTGTGTGTGTGTGTGTGTGTGTGTGTGTGTGTGTGCGCGCGCGCATCATGGACGTCTGTATACATAAGGACACACACCAGGAAAGGTACATCCACATACAATATTTACCTGGTGTTCATCCGTTGCCCAAAAAAGGTGTGAGTCACTCGGCGGTCTGACTCACCAACACCCGGGAATTTTTCGCGAATAGTCTTCTTCACTTTAGGAAATAAAATGCAATGGCGTAACTCGTTATCTCTTTATTCCTTCTATGTCTATATCAAATATCATTTTAATAGGAATATTTATCTTGTTTTTGGCTTATTAATGTTATAGCCATTATACTTGTTTTCTTCGTTAATGCATCCTTGATTTAGGGGAAAGGGGGGGGGTTACGCGTTCACTAGCATCTGTTTTCTAAAATTTAAATATTTCGTAATTCTAAGTAATAAGTACATATACGCACGCATACAGTACACACTTGCAAAATTGAGTGCGTGTCTGCGTTAAAGTGCATAATTCCAACTTACAAGTTCATTCATTTAACACCTTATTGCTGTTAGCAGGACGGAACTACTCTGAAACGAAGTCGCAGTTGTAGAAGTTGTAGCAACAGCGGTAGCAACATCAGCGATAGCAGTAACAGCAGTAGACTTTGCTGTTAGTTGGTAACAAAATCCATGGTCATAATGAGGCTCTTTTTATTTTCTCTATTTTTTTTTTCTTCAAAGTATTCAAAAGTCTCTTCCAACAACAAAATGCCACTGAGAAGAAAACTACCACTTATATCCATCAAAGTGTCCATCCCTCATACTGTCTTGTTAAGATAAAATAAAACCTCCACCAACAACGTATCTGCACGTTCTCATGACAGCATGGTAGACATATGTGACAACTTTCGTGACACCATGATTGCTGAAGGGCCATCGAGACGGCTCGAAAGAAAGCATAATCATTTACACGACAGCATAGCCCGTTTAACCGCAGCATATCTTTTCGTGTGCCAGACCCTCTCCTTTCGTGACTGTTCATAAGGTCCAATTGGTCTCATAATGTATTTGTACTGTAACATGTCAAGTGTAGCTTCTCTTCTGACGAGTCGGCGACAGTAATGGAAATATCAAATGGTTGCTCTTTAATGAATAATACGATTACCGGCGCTGGTGGCAACCGTGCGCTACAGCTGGTGTATAATCACAACTGTGCATCTGTAAAAAGAAACAAGTGAGCGAGAGAGAGAGAGAGCGTAAAAAGAAAGAGAGGGGGGAAAAACACCGTAAAACACTTTCTACTCGCATGCCGTAATAACAACTGCACTCTCAATACTCTCAATTTGTTGCAATATGTTTTTTTTCACAAAATATGCAATTGCACGGATCATATTCCCTCGGACCAATAAACAAACAAACAAAAAAGACATTCCATCGACACCCCCCTCGCCACCGAAGTCTACCCACGATTTTATTTTTACGTCTGGCAGCGCGCGCTTCTCCGCACCCTCCCTTCTCTCCCCCACATGGCCCTCCCTCTCTCCGCCCCTCCCTCCTCCTTCCTCCCTTGCCCCGGCCCCTCTCCCTCAATCTCTTCCTTCCCCATCATCCCCCTGCGCCCCCCCCCCTCCCTCCCTCTCACCCTTGCTCCGCCTCCCTCCCCCCCCCTCTCTCTCTCTATCCGCCCGCCTTCCTTCCTCCCTCCCATCTCCCTGCGCCCTCCTCCCTCCCTCCACCCCTCCCCTCGCCCGCCTCCCTTCCTCCCTTCCCCTGTCCCCCTCCCTCCCCCCTCTCTCTCCCTTCCTCCCTCCCCCCCCTTTCGAAGCTACGCACCAAAACACGCCGCTCCTCTCCCCACGTTCGCCACACACACACACACTCCAGCTCGCGCAAAATGACTCTCACTTTCTTTCATGTTCGTTCCGTC